CACTTTCAACAACACTAGCTTCAGCGGACTTATTTTCTCTCTCTTGCTTGTTTTTCAACTTGAAGCATTCAGTCACATCATGACCATGCTTCTTGCAGTACTTGCAGGATTTTTTGGACTTACGTCCTTTGGACTTGGATCTAGAATTTTTATTGCTACTCCCTGATTCAAGTGGACGACCCCTTACAGTCAAGCCTTCACCTTTGTCCTCAGACTTAATTTCAAAGTCAAACTTTTCTTTGGACAATAGGTTTGACTTAACATTGTCGAAAGTAAGGGTATCACTACTATTACCATACAGCATAATTTCTTTGAAATGCTTGTATGATTTAGGGAGAGACACAAGCAATAAAACAGCACGATCCTCATAGTCAATTATGACATCAATATTTTCCAAGTCCAATAAAATAGAATTGAATTCATCCAAGTGAGATTTAATAGAAGTACCTTCCGTCATACGGGATTGTGTACAGACGCTCCTTCAGGCGTAGCGTGTTCGCTAGAGTTTTGGACATGTAAAGCATATCCAGCTTGGACCATAAATCTGACGCAGTCGTCTCACTTACTACCTCACGTAGAACCTCTTTAGACAGGCACAAAAGAATGGTTGAACGTGCCTTGTCATCCAAATCTTCCCAGGTTTCATTTGTCATTGTAGCTGGTTTCTTCTTCTTCCCAGCTAGCGCTTTCTTCAAACCGTTCTGGGTTAGAACGGCTTCCATCTGAACCTTCCAGATAGAAAAACTAATTTTCCCGTTAAACTTCTCGATATCGAACTTAGTAACAGTCGACATCTTCGAAAATAACTCTCAATTAAATCGCTCTGATACCACTTATTAGGAATATAGCGGAATAATGCGGAAGCGAAGAATCAAAAATTGAGAATTATAGAAGTTAAATAATAGGGAAAATATGTAAATGAAGAAAATTATATAAATGAGAAATGAATCTAATATAAAATGGAAAAATATAAAAAATATATATAAATTCTCAAAAGAGAATAACAAATGAAATATATATATATATATATATATATATATATATATATATATATATATATATATATATATTTGTACGTGAGAACAAAAACAAAGAAGAATGAATTCAAATGATGTAAGAGGTGTGTTTACAAAGCAAAACATCGAAACTATTTATACACTTCAAAAGAGATAATTGTGCATGTAAAAATGGGAACATGTGTACGTGGGTGATGGATGGTGCGGCATGCAGATGCTACGTGGTTGATGCTGCATGGAGAATGGAAGACTAATTCTTCAAGGATTTGAGGTACCAAAATTATTATTTCCCAACATTTTCAATATATTAAAACTGTATATTGTACTCATGGTTTATATAGCTATATAGACTATGGTCCACACAATAATTTGTGACTTGATAGGGTCTGGGTCAGCGGTCAAGGTGGGCGGGAGGTGATTGAAATTTGGGCCAATTAATACAATGAATTTTTGGAAGTATGTTGATTCAAATAGGTTTGGGATTGATTGTCAAATATAATAATGGGAAAAATAGGATCTAAGGGGAGTACCGAATTCATACTTGTAAGCCGTGTTGCAAAAATCTCACTTAGGTATCGACTAATTGACGCCTAGGCGTTATGCGCTGACCGGTCACTTAATGTATCACCATAATCGGTGGTCTACGCAATTGGTTGTCTAGGCCACTTAGGCGCTAACCGCCTAGGCTTCCTAAGAAGTGTTGAAACTCTAGATGTTTTTTAGGTAAATATTTTATATTTTAGTATTAACCGTTAAAGTATTAAATAGTTTACAATTATTATGTCTTAAAAAATTTGAAAATTTTAAACAAACTTTTAAAAAATACACGGGCGTCTAGGCTCTAGGCGCCCTCGAGCGCCCGAGGAACACCTAGCGATTTTTTCAACCATGTTTGTAAGGTACAAAATTTCGATCATAACACAAGACACATACACATTTTGTATATTTACTTATTTTTCAAATCTGATTTAAGTATAAAATTTGAGTTCATATGCACAGAATTTCACAACACAAGATACAAAAATTCATAACATAAGACATAACTACTAATTTGTTTCAGGTACAAAATTCATTCGCTTAAAATACATAATTTCATAATACAAGATACAACAACTCACAAAATAAAACACATACACATGCACCAAGATCCACAATGCATTGTGAACCTTGGATCAATGGTATATAAGGATTGCTTGTGAACTGTTCACCACCTTAGAATTATTTATTTATTATTTTTTAAGATTCACCTTAGAATTTTCTAAGTTGTTGTTCTACTTCTAATCAAATTAAGAAATTTTAAATTGGACAAAATATGTGAATTTGTGTATAATTTTATTTTTTGAATTTGGATCGATCAACATGATAATTATATGATAATCTAAGGGTGTATTTGGTTCACGGGTTTACACCATAGGAATGAGAATCAAAATAATAGTTAGTGTTTGGTTGATAACTTTTTTAAATACAACTATGAGATTTTATTACCCCTTCAATTAAAAATCTGATTCCCTAATTAAAATAGGTATCATTCCATCTTATTGGTAATATAATTTTTAAGTTTGGGTTAGTACTATTAGATTTTTGTATTGTTTTGTTTTGGTTTTGTTTTTGTTTTTGTTTTTTTTTTTTTTGTTTTTTTTTTGTTTTTTGTATTTTTAAAACATTTATTCCCATTATAGGTCATACGCAACCGAACATCAAAATTGTAATCATTCCAATTTTACCCTACTACCAAACATGTAAAATACGTTCACCAAAATCATTACCAGTATTATATTACCAAGTATTTGATTCCATTCCGATTATGATTCCATGTGCAAACCAAACACACCTTAATAATTCTTTTCTTTTGTCTATGTCAAGTCATCAGGTTGTATCAAGTGGTACTTTGATTTACGAGAATGCCTACAACCTTTACCCGAGGTGCATTTTAGGTGAAGTCTAGCCCCTATGAGGTAATCCAGTCTAGGTTGTCAATGGCTGACTCACTTAAACCAAGAAAATCAATAGATAGTTCTCATAAAGAGTTAAACTTAGAATCTTGTGATTACCAAACCAATTATTCGACCAACTTAGTTGGAGTTGCCCCTATCAAATAGGACTTGATATTATTGGTGAGATGTTCTATGTTGTGTATAGAGTGGTTCTCCTCCCCTTATATTTCATCTTCAATATTAATGGAAAAAGGTTCTACGTTTTGTATGACGTGATTTTCCGCTTCTTCCACTTAATCACTCTTTTCGGATTCGGTCAAAATTCTCATCTTGTTATTTTCAAGCTAAGCTATTGCCTAGGGTCCCATATGTTTGAAAAATCAATACCATTATTTTCAATTAATTAATTAAGATAAGAATATTAACTCAAAGTTGAATTGGTCACGCTAGCTATAACGGACTTACTACACTACAATTCAAGAGCACTCTACATCATAAATCGATAAGAGAATATACTTGATAGGGTCTGGGTCAGCGGTCAAGGTGGTTGGGAGGTGGTTGAAATTTGGGCCAATTAATACAATGGTCCAAATTGCTTGCGATGGATAGGATTATAGACTATCCTTGCCAAATTTAGTTGAAAGTTGAAAATTAGCCGAAGAATTATAAGCTAGAAGTTGAAAACTGAAGAGTTGCATGTGAAGTTAGCTGATTATGTTTAAAAGTGTTTGATAAAATTAACTTTTTGATAAGCTGATAAATGTAAAAAAGACTAAAACAAATATCTTCATAAAATTTAAATAGGTTCGTTTACATATTAAAATTTAATATTTTGAAATTAAACTATTAACATAATCATGATCTAGCATCTCATAATAATGAAGTAGCAATATTGTTGCGAATTTCCTTCATCTCAATATAATAGAGGTCTCACTTGAATTTTCGTTGATAGAGATATTACTACTTGAATCTTGAAGTTCATCGCGCAGTACGTAATCTGGATACTGCTCAAGCACATTAAAAATCATGTCATCTTGTATATTTCGTTGGAGGATCAATGGACTTATGAACGAACGATTGGAGTTGGAACTTTAAGGAGTTGCTGCGCGGTGAAGAGTTGCGGAAGAAGATGAATAAAAATATAGGAGAAGAGAAAATATCAAAAGGGTTTTAATTGGGAGGGGTAAATGATGTCAAAATCATTTATTTAAAGTAATAATAAGGATAAAGATAAAAAAAAAAAAGTTAAGAAGCTACTAGCTTTGTTTGAAATGCTACCTAATTAAGGTAGCTGTAAGTGTACAAGTGATACATATTTACTTAATTTATATTGTCTACATTATTTGTCAAAACATAGCTTAATTTTATTAGACTGTATTAGGTTCTGGTTTGAGTCAGGATCTACTTCAGAGCAGTCTCAGTCAGAACGTATTTCAGAGTGGGCAAATTTTCTCTAACAGAATTCTGATTTTCAGACACAGTTTTCAGACAGTATTTGAATTAATTGGAGCAGCTTAAATTGAGGGCTTTGACCTGCATTTATCCAGACAAGGTCGTTGGTGATTTTCGCTATATAAAGAGTGTATGGAATTTTTGAATTAATGAATAAGTATTCCCTCAAATCCTTTACACGTTTTCTCACTATATTTCGAAGGGTTTAAGCAACTTGAGCCAATCTACCTCGATATTAGACTCGACTCTCTGCATCGTCACCTCACATTATTATTATTATTAGGGAGTATTATTTTGTATTTCTTTAATATTTAAGTTTTATAAAGTTAAGCATATACCAAGACTATGTGGTCTAATGGTACCGGGTTAGACTTCCATTTGGAAGGTTGTGAGTTTGAGCCGTTATTAGTTCTTTGTGTTTCAGTAAAGTATATGAAAAAAAAAAAAAAAGAGTTAAGCATATGCACTGCTATATTCGTCATACCAAATTACTCTTGGCACGTCATTATTGTTTCAGATTTATTATTTAAAAAAAAAATTGTTTCAGATTTTTTTATTTGACTATTACGTTAATATTGTTTCAGAGCCCTGCATTCGTTCATTCTACTCATCTATCGACCTATATATGAATAAAATAAAAGTTGATACACAAGGTATATGATTTAATTTGTCCTTAAACTACCATACATGCATAACAAAGTTCATTCCTTAAACAAAGAAGGCCTTTCTAATCTTCTGTAACTCTCTGCTGACATCTTTCATGTTTCCACGCTCCATTGGTGATCTACAAGCACAACAGAGTCCAATTTTGAACACGGAGATGAAGAAATCATCCATCTTTCTCTCTTCAATTTCCACCAACTTGCTAGGATTTTTCAATTCTTCCTTACATCTTATTCCATGGTTGTTGCTTTCTTGGCATGTTAGAAGCATTGGGTCTACAATCTTCATCACTTCATCTGGCAATGCTGTCTCAACATATTCAGAAAGGCTACTACCATCGTCACTAGAAAAATTATATGTGGGTCTTTTTCCGGTGAACATTTCCAGTAAAAGGATTCCATAACTGTATACATCTCCACAAGTTGATGCATTTGCTCCAGTCCCGTATTCTAGATCCAAATATTTGTCAAAGAAAAAATTATCAAGTGTAAGAATAAAATCATGGAACATAATCTAGTCAACTTTGAACTTGATAACCAAAGGTTATTAGTTTTTTCTTTTAACAAATATTAGGCAACAAAGAAGATGCTTCATCTTCTTCTTCAACAGCTCAATCTCTGCAACTCAATGAGTTAGGTTTGGATAAAGCTTATGATAGTCTAATTTACTAACGAACTGATATATATATACACACACATACTCTGAACTCCGCTACCATCACAACTTCAAACAAAGCAAATGAAAAAAAATAATAATAATAATAGAGCATTTTAATTTTTGGGAAACAACTTCTTCAACATAAGATATGATATATGAAAACTTTTTCTCTTAAGCTAGCTAGTTATAGGAAACAAGTGGTAAAGTTTAATGACAATATTCTTACCTGGTGGAACATAACCAATTGACCCCTTTAATGCAATGGTACTACTTTGTTTACCAATTGGATCTCCAATTGTACATGAATAAAGTCTTGATATACCAAAGTCTCCAACATGAGCAGTTAAGTCTTTGTCAAGCAGAATGTTACTTGGCTTTAGATCACAATGAATCACCGCCGGTTCACAATCATCATGGAGATAATGCAAAGCAGAAGCTACATCAATTGCAATGTTTAACCTTTGAAGAACATTTAGAATGGTCGTCCTTGCATTTGATGAATGTGTATGCAACCACATATCCAAATCTCCATTTTCCATGAACTCATAAACCAAAGCTTTGAATTCATTACCTGCAAAATCACAACTCGAGCAGCAAGTCAAAATTGGAACGAGATTTCGGTGGCGTATGTTCCTCAACACTTTACATTCTGCAAGAAAGCTCTTTGTAGCTCCATTTTTTAAAAGGTCAAGTACCTTCACCGCAATTGTTTGTTCTCCTCCACCTTGCTCATCAAATCTTCCTCTGTAAACAAAGCCAAAACTTCCCGAACCGATCAAATTTGTCTCAGAGAAACCATCAGTAGCTTGATGCAGGTCTCTATAAGGGATTTTGGAAAGTTGTTCAACTTTGGATGGCTTAGCTGACTCCATCCTTTTTTCTTTCCTCCAACACAATGTTAGAAAAGCAATGAATGATGCAAACACCAGAGCTGAGCAGATACATGTGAAGATAACAATCATTAGCTTTAAATGCTTGCTGTGTTTTGTTTTCTTCACAAGACATGGAGGCAGCTTTAGCTCAGGTATACCACCGCATAGCTTTTTGTTTCCAAGCAATGATACATTGGTTGCCGCTGCAAACACTCCAACTGTTGGTACCTCCCCTTCTAGATCATTGAAGGAAAGGTTCAAATGTTGCAAGAAGCGGAGATTTAGGAATTCTCTGGATATCTCTCCAGTCAACTTGTTGTTTGAGATATCCAAATGCCTAATGCTTTTTAGGAAAACCAAAGAAGGTGGGATTTTTCCTTCAAAGAGATTACCATGCATATCAAGATATTCAAGGCTCAAACAATCTCCAATTGAATCTGGAATTTTGCCATACAATTTGTTCCCAGAGATGTCCATGGCATTTAGTGTTCTCAATTTGCCCACGACAGGAGATAATAGCCCAGTGAATGAATTATTAGAGAGGTCAAGTTTCTTAGACAAAGATGGCAGATAAAAAATTTGTTGAGGAATGACGCCATTGAGTCTGTTACTAGATAAGCCCAATTCATTCAAATTCCAAAAGTTTCCCACACTTGAAGGTATATTTCCATCTAAGTTGTTGATGTCCATATGTATTGAAGATAGAGAAGTGAGGTTAAAGAGACTAGGAGGTATTATTCCAAACAATCGGTTTCCACTTAAATACAATCCTTGTAGGTTTTTCAATTCACCTATCTCACTGGGAATAACACCTGATAAGAGGTTTCCATCTAGGCCTAAATCAGTGAGGCTAGCGAGATTTTTTATTGATATTGGTATCGTTCCATATAACTTATTCCCTCCTAGAAGCAAAAGAGAGAGTTTGGATGAGAGGTTAGCTATGGTGATTGGCAATTTACCTTCAAATCTATTCTCAGCAATGGAAAACACATTTAAATTACTACAATTTGACATGGAGGGTATAAAAACTAAGTCATCAAGGGGACCTTTGCTACCAAGAAGATTTTCCCCAACATTCAAGTATAGAAGATCTTTTAACTTCCCAATGTTACTTGGAACTTCTCCAATAAAATTGTTTGTGGATAAGTCAAGATATTGAAGCTTAGAGGCATTGGTAAATGAAATAGGGATAGTTCCATGGAATTTGTTTATATCAAAATCGAATTCTTCCAAGTTGGGCATTGTGTTTCCTATGTAGCTTGGAATGGTCCCCTCAAGCGAGTTATCCGCTACTGCAAAAAATTTGATTGAAGTGATATTGAAGAAAGAAGGAGACAATTTACCAGTGAGATTATTGGAACTAAGTGAAAGGATTTTCAAACCCGAACACTGTGTAATCTCATGCGGAATACTTCCCTCCAAATGATTATATTCCAAGCTCAATATTAGAAGCGAAGAAAGATTCCCGAAAGCCGGAGGAATTCTACCTGTCAATTTGTTTACACCCAGAAAAAGATATTGTAGCTTCTTCAAATTCACCAAGTTTGTAGGGAGTAACCCTTGGAGGCCATTCCGTGCAAAGCACAGATACTCGAGCTTTGAGGAGTAGTTGCTGAGATTAACAGTAACTAGTTCTCCCGTCAGTGCATTGGAAGATAGATTAAGGAACCTTAGTCGAAACAAAAAACTAATTTCTCCCGGAATTCCACCGTAAAATCCATTGCCACCAAGCTCAACAACCCTGAGGAATGTGAGATTTCCGATATGAGGAGAAATGGTTCCGACCAACCCCATCTCCGGCAGCTCCAAACCCACAACTCGTCGGTGCCGACGACCACACCTCACTCCTTGCCACCCACAATGGTGCTCCGAGTTATTCCAGGAGTTAAGTAACACTCCGTGCGGATCATCAGAAATCCGGCGTTTAAAATCCAAAAGGGCATTTCTGTCGGTTTGATTTGAGTAGAGAGTAGTCGTAGCTGATGATGATGATGCAAAGGAGGAGGAAGAAATGGAAAGGGTAACTCTACATATTAAGCAAAACAGAAGAAGATGGAGAGTACAAAGTGCAGAGAGCGATGAGAGTGATGAGAGCGAGAGCGTTTTGTCGTGGCTCATCTTCTTCATCACCTTCATCTCTGATCTACAATATAATAATTCAAAAAGATGGGTTTAGATACATACGAGAGTGATGTGTTTTTTTCTCACAGGGTATATATATATATATATATATATACTCCGTATATGCTAAATCAAGAATATGTTTTACTCATCTGTTCCATTTTACATTTTTACATGTCTTACTTTTCTTTTTAGTTTGTCCAAAATGTTGTCCACTATTCAAAACTGAACATCACCATTATTCTACTTTTCCCAATAGAAAATACTACATATACTCTTCTCTGAGTTAATATTATCTGAGGTCCTCCGAGTATAGTGATTTTGTCACGTTTAGTCCTAAACTTTCAAATTGACTCTCTGTGGTCCTTTGACTTTCAAATTTAACCATTTGTGGTCCAATTTAACCACTCATGGTCCTTCAAGTTTCAAAATTTAACCAGTCGTGGTCTTCTTGAAAGGATCATGGTTGGTTAAAATTTAATAGTTGAAGGACCCTAGGTGGTTAACTTGGATCAAGAATAGTTAAATTTGAAAGTCGAAGGACCACGAATGGTCAATTTGAAAGTTTAGGACTAAACGTGGCAAAACCACTATATTTGGAGGACCTTGGATGGTATTAACTCCTCTTCTTTTTTACTCTCAACTTTTACTCACACACACAAGATCTTGACGTAGACACTTGTATTGTGACCCACATGAAAAAGAAAATAGCATATTAGTGTCCACCATATGAAGAAGTAAAATTTAGAGAGTCTATGTAGTAGAACTCTTTTCCAATTTACCTTTATTAGTTTTGCTTTCTTTTTGTTTTTATTTCTAAAAGTGGGAAAAGTTAAGGACATAATTGGAAAACACATATCATTTGTTTTAATTCCTTAAATGTGACAGCCAATTTGGGAAGGACGGAGTATCAAATATGCTTCATTGCTTTACACATTGTTGTGCGGCGAGCATAATTATTATGTAATCAAAACGTGGCATGGACTAATGTAAGTATTAAAAAAAATAAAATAGTTTCTTTGCTAATAGTTATAATTTTTGGTATATATGGTTATAATTGATAAGCGCTTGATCTGATGTTTGATATAAAAGCATGATGTGCCGTTGATACTGGCAGTCGTTGAGGGGATTGTTGGGCAACAGCTTGTTGAGTCGAGTCCAACATTCTGCCATCAAAACTTAAAATTAACAAATGTATCTTACTTTTTAAATATACAATGCCCTTCTTTTACTTTTCATGTGAGATTTGTGAATTATTACACCGGAGCAATAGGAGTTTACTCGATGGATGGCCACCATTGGATCGGATAATGATTACGAATTTCCTTCGTCATTAGAAAAAATAACTACACCATACACGTGAATATTATATTACAAACTCGAGTGTCAGTTTGAAATTAAGGTTTATGTTTTAACCTATACAAATTGTTCACTTCAAAATTGCTTCAACTGTAATTTATATAAATTGCTTAAACTGCTAATTTATATTATAGGTCAAATTTTGATTTGCTTTTATATTGCACAAAAAAAAGGATAATGGTAAATTAATTGATTAAATATTACTTTCTAAAAATATTAAATATTTATATTTTATTTTTGACAAGATTAAATATTTATATTTAAATTAGGGTGTGTATATATAGACATATAGTGCGTCATGTATATGATATTTTCTACTGATGACTTGCTTTTTGACTAGTTGAAAGTGCTCAACCTGCACGTATAGTGCGTATGGACGTCACCCAAGAATTTAGTGATATGCGTGCGTGTTTGACAAGTTCAATAGCGGAGGCAAATACGCTTTTAATTCGTGGTCCATCATGACACAAGGTTTCTCATGATTAAGCTAATTTTGTTTTCTCATGAAAGTCTTCCTTTCAGATTGACAAAGCCCGTCCGAATACTACGTACAGAATGGGGAAAAAGAAGAAAATTGTGCTTATAGTGGGGCACTCAAGTTGAAATTAATTTGAGGTGACTTTAGTGGTAAAGTTAGAGGCTTGGCATGTGTTAACAAAGAAAATTGAATAAAATATATTGAATTCAAAATTCTGGTTACATGTCAAAATCAATGGGGTGTGGGTACAAGTCTCTGGATGGTCCTTTGATTCTTCAATTGACGTCTTGAACACTCCACCATTGAAGGGCCTCCGGGTTTCAAGTGGCTTGATCTCCAAAGAAGGACTTGTATATATAGCTTCTTCTTCTTGAAGGGCCTCCGGGTTCAAATGGCTTAATTTTCAATAGAGGTTTAGATCAACATGCATCAACATATGGAAGAGGAGCTTGTTCTTTTTGAAGGGCCTCCAGGTTCAAATGGCTTGATTTTCAATAGAGGTTTATGGCTTGATTTTCAATAGAGGTTTAGATCAACATGCATCAACATATGGAGGAGGAGGAACTTTTACTTTCAGGATCACATTTTTATTGTGATATCTGAATAAGCTTTAGAGTTCTTTCTATGATTTTTCCTAGGATGTCTGATTACATAGAAATGAGAGCTCCTATTTATAGCTGTAGGATATAATAGTTTTGATAAGCTCAAACTCTTTTGATATTATCTAATTAAACAAATTAGATAATATCAATATTATCCAAAATATTTCAAATATATTCAAGTATACTAATATTGATAAATAATTAATATTTATCAAAATTTAAGTATCAATAACATGACAATTGTATCATTTGATGCTTTTGTTGAATGAACAATATAGAGTGGGAAAAGGTGAGTCCGCAATGAAAAGTATTCAAAATAGAGTGATCCGTTTGTTAGGTCCAGAGTGTAAGTCGTCTAAGGTATGCTGCCACGGAAATTGGTCTCCACAAGAGTGAGTGGAAGTTCATGGGGTCGAAAACAATTGTAAAGTCGTTACTGAAGAATGCCTACTGGAGAGAATTATATTATGGTGACATTAGAAGAGTGTTGGAACACAATCGCATGCGATCTTACTTGGATGGAGAAGGGAAGAAAGAAGAACTGGTAATCTGTTAAAGCGTTACAATGGGAGAGGGGCAGCTAATATACGTAAGGGAAAGAAGCGGGAAAGGCGGTTACAAAGGTGGTTACACCGAAAGTAAAGAAGAGGAGAAAGACCACAAGGCCCTTAGCTAGTCTCTGCTCGAACCACTACATGCTTCTTCATTTCCTTCCTCCAACACCCCCCCGTAAGTTGGCATATACAAATCTTGTGTTCCCAACTTAGATGTAAATGACTGGAACTGCGTTATTGGAAGAGGTTTAGTGAATCCGTCAGCAGTTTGATTTGAAGAGGATACAGACAGAAGCTTTATGATTCCTTGAGTGACCTTTTCGCGTACGAGATGACAATCTATCTCGATATGCTTCGTACGTTCATGAAATACCGAGTTCTCGGCTATGGCAATTGCGGATTTATTGTCACAAAAAACCGCTGCAGGCTTCTTCATATTCATCTGCAAGTCGGAGAGAAGAAACGTGATCCACTGAACTTCACTCACAGTAGCTGCTAATGCCCTATATTCGGCTTCGGAGGAAGATCTGGACAGCGTCGTTTGTTTCTTGGATTTCCAAGAGATTAGTGCACTGCCAAGAAAGATGCAAAAACCCGTGATGGAACATCAAGTTTCTGAACACGTTGCCCAGTCTGAATCCGAAAACACATTAAGCTGCATGGCTTCGACTTTTGGATAGAAGATTTCCTGGCCAAGAGCTCGTTTAATGTATCGCAAGACATGATGCGCTGCTTGCATGTGTTTAACAGTTGGTGAATCAACAAACTGGCTTAGTTGTTAGATGACGTAAGTGATGTCTGGTCTTGTAGCCGTAAGGTATAATAAACGACCAACGAGCCTTCTGTACGAGCCAATGTCAGTAAGGAGCTCACTATCTCCATGACATAAGTGAATGCCAGGAAAAGTTAGCGATAGAATCACGACGACAATTTGTTTCATCGTTTTCTTACGACAGAATTTTGTGACGGAACACGAAATTTGCAACGGATAGGATAACGACGGAATCACGACGACAATTATTTCTGTTGTTATATTTCACGATGGCAATTGAAGACAGAATATGAGTTTTGCGATAGATATTTTTTCACACAATGGCGAAGGAAGGAAACATTTCCGTTGCCAAAACCGCGACAGATTCACGACGGAATGAATTTCGTCGCTAATTTCCCGACGGAAAATTCCGTTGTGATTTTCCGCCGCCACTGCTCGCGACGAATTATTTCCGTTGCAAAGTGAAATACGACAAGCCTGGAGGCTACGGAATGAATTTCGTCGCGAAAATGCAAAATTCCGTCACTAAAAGGATCGGATTTAGATTGCACGAACTTCATCTGTAACAGAGCAGCGTTAAGCTTCGAGTTCCATTGCCTGCTCGCTTGTTTGAGGCCATACAAAGAGCGCCGAAGCTTGCATACTTGGTTAGGTTTCTCGGACTCAAACCCCTGTGGCAGTTTCATATAGACCTCTTCTATTAAATCTCCGTGCAGAAAAGCGTTATTTATATCGAGTTGATGAGTGTGCCAAGCACGAGATGTGGCCACTGCTAGGAATGTCCGAATGGTTGTTATCCTTGCAACCGGTGAGAATGTTTCTATATAATCAATTCCGAGCTGTTGAGTGTAGCCCTTGGCCACTAGACGTGCTTTGTAGTGATCTATGGAGCCATTGGCTTTGAGCTTAACTTTATAAACCCATTTGCAACCAATGGGGATTTTTCCAGAAGGTAAATCAGTGATTTCCCATGTCTTGTTCTCTTGCAGGGCTTTGATCTCAGCACTCATGGCATCCCTCCAATGGGCATGTTTGACAGCTTGGCTGTAGGACTTTGGCTCATCTGTAGAATTAACTGCCAAAGAGAAGACTTTGTGAGATTGAGGGAGATTGTCGAGGGTCATCACCTTAGATAAACTGTGGGGGGATGATCTCTTGTTTATGGCATCACAGTAGAAATCTTGATATTTGCCAGGAGCACGACGTTGTCTGTTGGAACGTCTGAGAAGCGAGAGACTCCTGTTGGCCTCTTGAGTGTGATCATCATGATTATGTTCCTCCACTATCTGTGCATCATCATCATTATGCTCTTGTGCACAGTTTGATTCCATAGGTAGATGGAATTGAAAACTGCCAGATTGGCTGTCATGTGAGGAAGGTGTTGGCAGTATGTTATCACTAGGCAGCCTTATATTTTGAAACTGTTGAGGCCGAGGGCCTTCATACTCCAATGAGGTAGTAATCGGGATGATGGGAAGGGAAGGCTCATTCCCAGCAGTACTTGTGATTCCCATGGATCCAGTAGCTTTAGTGAAGGGAAATTGGACCTCATAAAAGCTCACATCTCTTTTAATAAACAGAGAACCATCAAGAAGATCATAAAGAAGATATCCTTTGGTATGAGCTGGTATTCCAATAAAGATGGAATTTCGACCTCTTGGTGACATCTTGTGTGTATTTGGAACGAGGTTTGAGGCATAGCATAAGCATCCAAAGACTTTCAAACTTGTGAGATCTGGCTCCTGATTATACAATCTTTGGTAGGGACTAGCAAGCCCAATAACTGGAGATGGCAGCCTATTGATTAAGAATGCAGCATGCATCACACAGTGGCTCCAAAACTCAAGTGGAAGACAAGCCTGGAAACGAAGAGCTCTGGCTACATTAAGTATATTTTGATGCTTGCGTTCAACTACGACGTTTTTCTATGGAGTGTAGGGGCATGTCTTTTGATGAATAATGCCTTTCTCTTCAAAGAACTCAGGCATGCTGAACTCTAAGCCATTATCAGATCGAATAGACTTAATGGGAACTCCAAATTGTGTAAGAATTTTGGCATGGAAGTTCTTGATAAGCGGTCTGACCCCTGATTTGCTCTTTAAAAGATGTAGCCATGTGAACCTAGAATAATCATCAACCATGGTTAAGAAATATCTTTCTCCTTTCAAAGAATAGACTGGAAATGGCCCCCAAATGTCAATGTGGAGCAAATCAAAGCAGTTTTTCGAGGTTGTTATACTCATAGGAAACGGGGACCTCTTGTGTTTAGCTAAATGGCAAACATCACATGCTATGGTTCTAGTATTTGCAACTTTGATATATTTCAAAAGGTGGATTTTATTAATGGGAAAATGTCCCAATCTTTGGTGCCACAATTCAGCACTACTACATTGAACAGAAGAAACATCATGGCTTGTATTTGGCAGAGGTTGAACCAGAATGTAGAGGCCCTTTTCTTGTCTAGCTAAACCAATCTTCCTCCCAAGCATATCCTGAATCACACACTGTTCAGACGCAAAGATTAGATTGCAGCCACCATCTTGCAATAGCTTACTTACAGACAATATGTTGAACTTGAAGGATGGTATGTGCAGGACATCCTTCAAGCATATTCCACCATCAAGGACTATGCTCCCTATGTGCTTGACATCAATGCGGTTTCTAGTGGGTAAGTTCACCTCAGTTCCTTGGACAGCATGATAATTAAGAAAGAAATCAAGGGAACAAGCAATGTGGTCCGTGGCTCCGGAGTCTATGATCCAAGTAGAAGTACATAGAGATATAGAGTTGACAAGAGTTTTAGAGTACTTGCCATCAGTTGTGGAGTCTTGTTTGCTGAAGTTTGGCACAAGAGACACTGCTGCCATGGCCTTAGTGTTTGAATTCTACCCAACTTGGTTTTGGAGAAGAGTCAAAAGCTTTTGAATCTGCTCAGAGGTATTACCAGAATCTGCCGGCTCATTAGTCACAGCTGCTGCAGATTGTTGTTGTTTTCCTTTTGATTTGAAGCCCGGAATCCATCCCGGTGGATACTCGTGCTTCTTGTAGCACTTCTGAACCGTATGACCACTCATCCCGCAGTAAGTGCACTTTGCACCTTTGTTATTGTTTCCATTTCGCTTGTAGTTGTAGGTATTTAGGGCGGCTATGATTTCTTCAGAGGAATTCTGATGAACGGCATTGGCTTGTGTGGCGTCCATGTTCATGTTGCAGGTGCTCAGATTAGCAAATGTAATCTGCCTCTCAAGCTTTTCGGCCATAACGAAAACCTTATAGACCTCTGGCAGGGGATCCAAAACTAGCACACTAGATTTGAGGCTGTTGTACTCATCAATCAAACCCTGAAGGAAACGTATAACATAGTCCTCTTCTCGTTCGTTCCTGATTTGATCAATTAAATTGCAATTGCATTTTGGATTGCATTTACACTGAGGAAGAGGTCTTAAAGTATTCAGTTGTTCCCACAGAGTCTTACATTTAGTATAATACTCATTAATGGATAGATTTCCCTGTCTTAGGCTATATATATCGCTCTGCAGAATCGATACTCTCTGAGCATCGTGTTGTGAGAACCTACGTCTCAAGTCTTCCCAAGCATCTTTAGCTCTATCTAAATGCATGATGCTTTGAGCTATAGAGGTATGTACAGACCGAAAGATCCAGGAACATACCATTAGGTTACATCTTTTCCACGCTGCGTACAGATGATGATCATTGCTTGGTGCTGCGACATCTCCATTGACGATGCACCACTTGTTTTTGATTTCCAGAGCGATCCGCATCGACACACTCCATGATCCATAGTTGGAACTTCTAACGGGGGGGGGGGGGGGGGAGGGGGGGGGGGGGGGGGGCTAACCAGCACTGCGCAGGGATTCTCGTTTTGGTTGAGGAAGAGTGGATTCTCCACATCATCCAGAACCTGAGCTCTGTTTCGTTGTACGATCGGATTCTCCTGTGGAATCGTTGCAGGCATCGGAGGCGGAGCGGCGTGAGTTTGTTGACTTGTTTCTCCGATGATCGGATCTGTAGATCGATCGCCGATCACGGCTGCTGCATATGTTCTCCGGTGAAGAAGTCTGATACCATGTTGGAACACAATCACATGCGATCTTACTTGGATGGAGAAGGGAAGAAAGAAGAACTGGTAATCTGTTTGTAAACTGTTAAAGCGTTACAATGGGAGATGGGCGGCTAATATACGTAAGGGAAAGAAGCGGGAAAGGCGGTTACAAAGGTGGTTACACCGAAAGTAAAGAAGAGGAGAAAGACCACAAGGCCCCTAGCTAGTCTCTGCTCGAACCACTGCATGCTTCTTCATTTTCTTCCTTCAACAAAGAGCTTTAAAGTGTTAATGCAATATACAATAATGAACATTTATACAAGGGAAATTAAAGCCTAACAAAATTTTTGAAATAGTACGTGGTGGGCCATGATCGAGACCAAGTACGCAAGGCTCACGCGATAGGTCACGTGACTAAGTCAAGCTTCATCCATTCGAATTCGGACACGAGCTCCGAGACAACAATGACTAGGCTTATAGAGATATTGAAAGTGGTCAAAGAATAGAAATCCGAGGTCCAGGGGTCTAAGAGCCCATAGCCTAGGGCTCAATATGATGACTCGGGTGGCACAAAAAGACAACTCGGACCAAAAAGGCAACCTGAACAAAGATAGGCAACCCGAGGCCGCTAGCCATTTCTACCTAGAGCCCGTCTCCGGGCCTGAAAGGGTGGGCCTTGACATAGTCATGCGGTCCACCACGTAGGCATTGACTTGGACTCACTGCCCGCCACCATTTTAGGAAGTTCAATGAACTTTTTTATTGTATATTTGTATAAATATTGCTATGTCATAGCCTAGAGGATCATATCTTATTCTTACAAAATCCTTGTAGTGTTCTTACATTAATTCACTCAATATTACTACAATCCACCCCTTTGACAATTTTACCCTTATAATTTATGTGAACTTAGTTGATCTAGACATACTCTAGGTCAATTAGCTCCATCACGTACCATTTGGTGCTCTTGTTGAATGGCCAATGCATGGTGAGAAAAGGCAAAGTCGGAGTGAAAACTATCCAAAATAGAGTGGTCTGCTTGTCTGTGTTAGTATAAGTTATTATTATTGTTATTATTTCCTGTATATATTTTATATTATGTGGCTTAGATAGCTTGACTTAGTTTAGCTATTGAATAGGATCAGTTAGAGTTAGATATACTCTGTAATCCTGTTGTTACGATCATTAACGAAATTCCTTTTCTAATCTGGTATCAGACTAGGATTTTTCGATCTCTCAAAACCTCCACCACATATCTCCCCCTCCCTTCCCGCACTCCAAACAGCTATGTCGTCCGCCTCCGATCGCACAGCCTCCGACGGTGGAGCTCCGGCAGTTCCCTCGCCGGGGCTCATCATTATGTTACGATGAAGCTTACGCTAAAGAACTATCTATTTTGGTGTATGCAGATTGTTTCTTTCCTCCGAGGCCAGGAGCTTCTGGGCTTCGTCGACGGCACCCTTCCCTGCCCACCGGAGCTGATCGCCGGCACACCGGCATCCGACGACGCCGCGTCTAGTCGTGCTGTTCCGTCCGAGACTCCTAATCCGGCCTTCAAGGCCTGGGTGAAACAAGACCAGACCATCATCTCTCTCTTGGTCTCGTCTATGGCGGATGAGACGTTGCACCTTGCGCTTGGGCGGAATACAGCGGCTGAGATATGGTCCTCCATCACCGGCACGCTTGGATCTTCAAGCCAGGCGAGATGCCTCAATTTACTGTCGCAGTTTCAGATGCTCCGGCAGGGGAACGCGACCACAGCAGATTACCTCGGGCGTGCCGGCGTTCTCGTGGAGGCGTTGCTTGAGGCCGGCAGACCATTGACGTTGATGGAACAGAATCTGTACATCATCCGTGGGCTTCGTCCGGAGCTCAAACCTCTCGCCACCGCGCTTAAGGCCACCGGGAATCCGGTCTCCCTATCCCACTTGTCTGATTATTTGCAGGCACATGAATTCATATTGGTAGATGACTACCCTTCTCTGGACAGTGGCGTGGCTCACACTGCTTTGTACGCCGATCAGGGGCGTGGTTCGAGCAGTTCGGGCGGTGGACAGAATCAGAACAGGGGCGGTGGACGGAGCTCCAGCGGCAATGGTAAATCATGGTGGCGGTCGTGGAGGCCGTGGGAATCAGCGGTGTCAAATTTGCCGCTCCCATGGTCACACGACCGTATATTGTTTTAAAAGATATTCCACGCAACCACCCGCTCAAGCTCACGTGGCCGTGTCCGGAGAGGCACCATCGACCTCCGTAACGCATGCTTCGGATGGATGGTATCCCGACACCGAGGCCACCGCGCACGCAACTCCCGATGCGTCAATGATGGGTAACTCCAAGGAATATGGTGGGCCGGATGTGCTTCGGGTCGGCAATGGGGCAGGTTTGGCTATCTCAAGAGTCGGTCACACGTCTAGCCCGTCCAAATCTAAAATTCTCCACTTAAATGATGTGTTACATGTCCCGCGTTTGTCTGTTCCTTTGTTGTCAGTTCATAAATTTACTAATGACAACAAAGTGTTTTTTGAATTTCATAACGATTCTTTTTTTGTGAAGGATACCACAACCAAGGCGTTTCTACTTAAAGGGTCCACTTTTGGCGGGTTGTACAAGGTTCCAAGGTTACGGTCACAATATGCGTTCGTCAGTTCTCGTGCCACTCCCACCGTCTGGCATAACCGGCATGGTCACCCGCACAGTCAAGTTTTAAATAAAGTCTTGCAAAGCTGTCCCGTCACAATAAATAAAAACATCACTCCCGAACAATGTGCATCGTGTCACCTGGGCAAATCGTCCCGTTTTAAGCTAGATAGTGTTCCTTATTCAAGTGACAATGTACTTGATTTAATTTTTACCGATATTTGGGGTCCTTCCCCTGAACTATCTAGTAGTGGTAATCGTTATTTTTGAAGAATAAATAGAAGAGATAATAAGAAAACATAGATGAAAAGTAAATAGAAGAGATAATAAGAAAACTTCTCTGTTGAAGCTTTGAAATCCAAGATTTGCAGTGTTCTTGAGCTTGAAAATGGAAAGGAACAAGAAATCTACACTAATCTAAGCTATACTAGAGCTAAACCTAACTAAGGAAGGAAAAGGAAATGAAAGATAAAATGAAAGATGTGTTTTGGGGTGGAAAAATCCGCTTAAAAGGGTCAAAAACGCGCTGTCAAAAAGTGCAGAGGCTAGCCACGGGTGTGGCCACGCCCTTGGCCACACCTGTGGCCAGAAATGAAGGCTCATTGCCCAGTGGCCACGGGTCTGGCCACGCCGTTGGCCACACCCGTGGCCATAAGGCAGAGTTTCTGTGCACTGTGTCCATCTTCTAGGCATATTTTCACCCTCGAAACGTTTGAATTAGCCTTTGTGGTCTTCATCAAAGTTGTAGCCCTTCAAGTTAGATTTCCAATTACATAAAAACACTTAATTTGGACACTCCTACGCAGAGATATGGCCAAAATACCGAGAAGTGGATGATTGTGTGGGAATTTCAATTTCTTGCTCTTTTGCTCCACTTTTGCCTTTGTTTGTCCAAATGACCAAGACTACTAAACACTCCACAATTTGGCTCTCTAAGAGGTGTTTCCTCCATCTTCATAACTTCTTATTGATTCCCATTGACTCTAAATGCATCCGAATTGCTTCAGAAATCATTCAATTCATCTAAATCATCAAGAATTACTCATAAACACACAAATGAATCAAATGGGGGTACTTTGGGCAAACTTATAACAAATAGCAAGGAAAATAAGCTTATATGCAAGGTGAAAACATTAACATTTAGACTCTTATCAACTCCCCACACTTAAATCTTTGCTTGTCCTCAAGCAAAAATTAGAACTAAATCACCAATATAGCACTGAAGTTGATCATACTCCCACTTTGCACAACTTAACATCCCACAATCCAACTCGACACAACACAATTTGTTTCAAGAATCATCTTAGCATTCCACACAAGTTCCATTCTCAAGCCAATAACCAAGCACCAAAATTATTATGGAACGTGAGGATCAAGTGTGCATAAATACTAAGTTGAGATTATGCAAAACATGGCTTTTTGAATGAGATTCCATAGGCATGCCCTTCATACTCCCACTAGTTCAACTCTAAGATTGCATGCTAAGATCAAGTAGGACTTTTATTAGGCTTGTAATGGGGCTAAGGGTGAATGGTTGACAAATAAGGGGTAAGGAAATCAAGCAAAAGAGAGAACTTCACACTTATTCACAATTGAGATTGGAAGAGATATGACATCAAAGAACTAAGGAGCAACTTACAACTAAACACAAAACAACACTCTTAAATAGTGGAGGTTGAGAACAATTTTCAAAGCAAACTATCCAACTTTTATTGAACTTCTTCTTTTTCATTTCTTCATCTCTTTTTTCAACATTTTCATGAAATTTTTTTTCGATTTTCTCATCATTTTTTTTTTTCAAATCAACAAACAAAAATTTTCAATAAATCAAGACCACCAAACTTAGATAACATTATAGAGAGTGTTGCTAACAAAAAAAAGCTCCAAAATGAAAAAGAATCACTTCCATGAAAAAGAACAAGTGCCCTATTCTCTCAAGGGTGGAGGGAAACATTTTGGCTAAGGTTTTTTGGTCCCAAAAGAGGTAAGGTGAAAGTCTAGAGGGGGGGGGGGGGGGGGGGGGTGAATAGACTTTCAAACTTTTTCGCACAGCACAACAATTGCTAAGCCAGAGATAAA